ATTTGGGACTCGTCATCATCTGCATGTACCTGCATTTCTCAGTGAGTGATGATGTTCCCACAGAGGCTCGAACCCAGTGCCCATAGTTTCAAACGCCAAAGCGTTATCCACTAGACCACTTGGGCCACGAGAGCCACCTCTTGTACATCCTGCTGATGACGAGTCCCAAATATGACGAAATGCGCATCTTGGCTGGATTCCACTGCTAGTCACCATCCACCAATTAAATACTAATTAGATGCCTAGACATCGTCGAAGCATCTGCACAAGAAGCTGACATGTCCACCTGAAACCGAGCACTTCGGTTCAATCAATCGACGGGAAAATCTAAAATTCATTTAGAGGTATTAACTAATATATTTGGAATTTCCAGGTAATTCCACTAAGCTACTGTAGTTCATTGATTATACTAGTTTATATGGAAGGGAAGAAATCTTCCTGTGATAATCGATTACAGAGACTCATAATATTTCAAAAGATAAGGAAGCTTCAACGGAAATGAAGCATATGGACTCTTATGACAGATGAAGGTGTGCCCTGTTCAAAATTTCGACCCATCAACAAATTCTACACCATACAGAAGTACCACCAGCGCCTGACATTTGTTATCTTCCACCCGAGGTACAAAAACCTCGAGTGCATTCAAAAAATGCGAAACAATGAGTTGGATGTCGCCTCGACAGGGACATGGGAGAGATCGTGTTTGCAAGAAATGAAGGCTTATTGGCAATCTTGAAGACAGTTAAACAGGACTATAGGAAACAGGATGAGGTGAAGATTTACTCCTGAAACTTTATGTTCCAACCGGAACCTCAAGGCATAATGTTAATATAATAATAGTATTCTTACAATTTCACTTAACATCAGTGAGATGCATTTACATAACACTTATCTAGGGAGCATTGTGTCAACTGCAGGAGGAACGGACTGGGATGTCAAATCGAGAATCGGGAAGGCGAGAAACACATTCATCAACCTGAAACCAATCTGGAAATCTTCCGCTGTCACTCAACTCAGCATCAACAACAAAATGATTCGGATTTTCAATACAAACGTCAAGTCAGTCAGTTCTTCTATACGGATGGATCAGAAACTTGGCGGGTCACCAAGATTATTTCCAACAGCCTGTTGCAGACCTTTATCAACAACTGTCTTCGCTAACTCTATACTGAAGATCAGATGGCCACCGGAAACATTCACCAACAAGAAACTATGGGAACAAAGAAGACAAGAACCAAACGCCCAACAAATATGCAGGAGAAAGTGGAGATGGATTGGACACTCGCTGAGTAGGCCGCTGGGTGACATCGCGCGTCAGCCCATTGCTCGAGTGGAAGCTGAAAGGGAAGCGGCGAGTGGTACGTCCAATGGCGACATGGAGGAGATCGTGTGAAGAGGAGTTGAAACAGTATGGAATAACATGGATGCAGTTGAAAAGTACAGCAGAAGAGGGAAGCAAGTAGAGACGTCGTTGAAGCTCCATGTTCCACTAGGAACCCAAGGGAACAATAATAGTTATAATAATAAGAATAATAAGGAATGTGGTAAAAAGAGCATTCACTGCTGCTGAATTATGCTGTGTCTTCAAAACCACTCCTATTTTACCTTTGGCAGTTAAAGATAAACTGCCTAATTTCACCTCTTCTATGTGTATCTATTAATTTGACTACTGCTGTGGAGTCAGTTAGCTGCTTGGGACGTACAATTAAGCGTGTTCATCATTGGATTTCCAAACATCATCCTGCATAGTGGTTAATTAAGGGACAAGCAAAATCCAATCATAGCTCTATTCTATCTCATCTTGTGGATACAGAACACAGGGTTGACGTTAACAAGGCGGCTTTCCAAGTCATCTACGGCATACCAAATAATCTTAATTTGACCTCACTGAAGAGTTCGTTGTCTACTATATATTTCTGAGGCTGGTTGTTGGGATCTACATTAAGACATCTAACTTTTGATGTATCCAAAAGAAGTTGGTTGGCTCAGACACTATCCTTACCCTGACCATCAAGATTTGCATTATACTTGATTTGTTGCGGAAATTTCCTTAATTTTATTTGATATTCTATTTGTTATTATATTTTTATTATTGTTATAATTTAAGCATCTTTAATGAACTGTAATTCCATTGATCTTACTTAACAAATCGATAGTTAATTGACAACTATTCCAGAATATTCTGTGCATGTAAACATATTTTTTTCTATAGTTGGTTTCTAAGGATAAGTTTTGTTTTTTACGAGTTTATCACAGATTGTTATCAGTTAGAAAAGCAGGGATGTCCCACCGATGAAATTGGTTGGTGGTTACACTAAAAATCATGAATTGGTAGAAGTTAGAATTCAGGGGATGGACGTTGAACAGATTCCAGTGACTGAATGTTACACGAGCTTGCCGTGTAACCGAAAGGTCCTGGGTTCGAACTCCGTGGTGTGAGTGAGAACTGCCGATGAGTCTCAGAACTAGGATGAAACAGGTTTCGAGTACTCCCAGATGGTTTTCAATGCTTCTCTAACTGCTATTAATCCGTGATCCACTCGCAAAAACAAAACTAATCCTTGCAAAACAACTATAGAAAATTAATCTGATGCTCGTTAGTGACAGACTACAGGACGGAGTTCCTGGAGTTCTAGTGAAAAGTCGTGACCAGTGAGGTCATCCAGTTAAGTGTGAATGGAGTTCCCACCGACGACATTGGTTGGTTATCGCACTAGCAATCACGAATTGGTAGAAGTTAGAATTAATGAGCTGGCTGGCCATTGAATCGGGTCCCAGTGGCTGAGTGGTATACGAGCTAGCTTGCCTTATAACCGGAAGGTCCCGGGTTTTGAACCCCGTGGTGTGGGTGCGTACTGCTGAGGCAGGGTCCCAAACTAAGATGAAACAGTTGTCAAGAACTCTCAGCTGGTTTTCGATGGTTTTCTAATTGATATCAATCCGTGATCAACTCGTTAAAATAACATATATCCACACGCACACACACATACAGACAAATATGCACAATGACAATTCGACACTTATCATTACGAATATGTGATGACTGTTTATCTTTTTTCTGTTCTTATAAATATCTATCGACAAGTGACATTCACAAAAGAACTGACTTCAATTTATGTAAAAAGATTTTGACCATATATTTTGATGATTAATGAAAATCCGAATATTTTGATGTTGTTGTGTTCTCTGAGCTGGATAGTTAATTTGCGAAGCTTTCATCACCCTACTAGATGACATCTTCAGCGCATACTTCGATTTACTGAAGTGAGCTTTTAGATTTCTCCACGAGTTTATTAATCATCTCTCCCGGTGACCTGAAACTTGATGCAGTGATATCACTACATACATCACTACATACAGACAACCATGGACATCGATTCGACTGGGACAACCAGCCTTCAAATATTGGACAGAGGAAACAACAAAAATGCTAGAGAATTTTTAGAAGCTTGGCATTCCAGTGAATCGTCAATCAATAGACACATCGAAATAGACAAAATTTATCAACCGATAAGAAAGAAACCTCACACACAAAGGGTCAAAGTTCAAGTCAAAGAAAGAATCACTTCCAATACAAGTGTGAAAACGCACAAAACAACCAATCACATCCAAGGTCACCGGGAGAGATGATTAATAAACTCGTGGAGAAATCCAAAAGCTCACTTCAAATTGAAGTATGCGCTGAAGATGTCACCTAGTAGGGTGATGAAAGCTTCGCAAATTAACTATCTAGCTCAGAGAACACAACCACATCAAAATCATCCACCCATTGAGCTACAAATCTTCTCCATCATGTCTAAAATCCGAATAATTCTACTTCGGAAGAAGCTGTGGTTAGTGGCTTACACAGCGGAACATTCGGAAAAATAATCTTGTTTTGATTTAAAACACACTGGTATTATTTTAAATAACTTATAATGAATGATCCAATCTGACTCGACGCTCAGATTATTCCAGCAGGAAGTATGGTATATGCTTTGCACCGTCTAAGTGCAAAGTACTGTTACAAGATTGGCAGGAGCCTGTACCTGCACTCACTCTTGCGGGTGAACCACTTGAAGTTGTTGATAAGTTTGTGTATCTGGGTAGTTGTGTGAGTGCTGACGGAGGGGTGACGGATGAGACTTTCAACCGTATAATGAAGGCTAGGGTGGCATACATCAACTTGAGCCACCTCTGGCGCCGTCGCGACATTAGCCTGGCTGTCAAAGGTGGTCGGGTATACAATGCTTCGGTGCGGGCTGTCTTGCTCTACGCCTGTGAAACCTGGCCTCTACGAGCTGAGGATGTGAGGTGATTCTGCGTGTTCGATCATCGCTGTCTCCGCAGGATTGCTTGCGTTCGATGGCATTATCGTGTGAGTTATCCTGAGGTTCGGCGGCGTGTGTTTGAACACAGTGGAGATCACCATTCATTGTCGTCATCTGGAAACACCGACTCCGTTGGCTTGGACATGTGCTGAGAATGTCATCCCAGAGGCTTCCTTACAGGTCTCTGTTCGCTAGCCAGCCCTGGGATGGGATGGAAAAGGCGGAGGGGTGGTCAGTCCATGACGTGGCGTCGTGGGATGAAGGCTATTTGTGCTAGATTAGCATCGGTTGGTGTATCACGACTCCCTGGTTGGGGTCCACGAGATAGCTCGAATTGATGGCTCGAAACGTTATCGGATATGGCCAAGAATCGTAATCACCAATGGCGAACGTGTTGCAATTTCCTTCTTTCTTCCCTTCCTGATGATATTTGACGAATACTGTTTGAACTTGTTAAACATGACTGTTTTCCTTCCAGATGAAGTTCTTTATCCGTTTTCTACTTATATTTCTACTTTTAATCTATGTTGTTTTATTATTATTGTGTGGCGAATCTTTCTTGGTGCCATATTGTACCAAGTTTTTTCTGCGTTTAAATAAAAAAACAAATAAAAAATTCGTAACATCTGCGATCTGAAAACTTTATAATATTATTATTACTCAAATTGTTGTTTTATGTACTTTCAGCTGATTAAAAACAAATACCAAAAGATTTTTAATTATGATTCCTGATAACAATGATGAATTGCACAGTGAACTGGGATCAATTATTGATGAGAAACACGATGATGGTGATGATGGCGATGTCGATGACGATGATCCAACTTCTATTGATTATCGCATGTTAGCTGAAATTCTACCGAAACCGCCCGATTTACCCCTCCCATTGGAACCAACTTTTATTCCAAATGAATTAGAAAACTTAACTCTTGGGAAATATGATGGGATTAAATTCTGTATGGAAAATTCTTCACAGGTAATCAAAATAAGTTATATATTTTCTAAAACAATTAGTCTCGTTTTATAACTTTGGATAGTGTTGTTATTAGAAGACAAATATGGTCTGAAAAGGTATGTGATGTGATGTGATGTATTTGCGTTATACCTTTGGAAAAGCAGTTTGATCCCTCACACATTTACTTGTCAAATCGATATATATGCACATAAATTAAGGGCATAAAAACCTAGCGAAATTTAGATTAGTTGACACGAATTAGATAAGAAATCTAGAGAGTAGTTCAGCTATACCACTTACTACATGCAATCACACACAACCATTGGATGCGATGACAGTTTTAAAATCTAATGTCACAGGTTGGAGGGAGAGATTGATAACGGAGGCTTTGTTTATCGAATCAACTGCGAACCAACACATGTAATGGGAATGATTCAACACCTGTCCAGTCGGACGTCTGGAGAATTCTACTACCCTCTTATCCACGCCAAGTAAAATACTAAGTCACGTGATCCTGAAGAAAATAGAAGATGCACTAGAAGCAGAACTCCGCGAGCAACAGCACAAGCTGGATTCAGGAAAGGCAATGCATATGCCAAGTAAATTACAACTCTACGCATCGTCATCACAGAACAAAGTAAAGAATGGTAGTCAAACCTCCTTCTACCTCAACTTCATCTGCCAATTTGACCGAGAAGTAATTTGGAAGCTACTTTAACACTCCGGCATTCAGTGTCTCAAGTCTATGCCAACCCCATTTAACAGTTGGTTATAAAGCAATGCTAGGCGTCAGTCAGGTGATCGACAACGGAAAACTCACTCAACGAGGTATTCGAAATGAATAACGGAGTAAGACAAGGCTGACCGGCTGCCTATTATCACCAACGATGTTATTTTTAATTGCGCTAGATTAGATTATGCGTCAGACTAAGCATTGTGAATGGGAAGACAAAAATACGCTGCAATGGCCGGCGGAAAGGCTGTAGAAGATCTGGATTTCTCGTGTGAATGATTTATGTTTGATGTCATACAAACTGAAAGACTTGCAGGCAGCAGAAAACCAACCAACTGACTGAAGAAGCTGGCAGAAAAGACAGGACTGCAGGTTAACATACAGTAGACGGAGGTGATGAAGCTAACCAGCTAACGAACAGCAACAACAACCTGCACCAGTCACGCATCACCAACGGGAGAGATTTGACAGTAGTCACTTTCTCGCTTCACTTATCTAGGAAGCGTGCTTTCAACTACAGGCAGTCGGACAGCACGGACATAGATGTTAAAGACAGCCAGCCAGTCAGAATTTGGAAAGGCAAGACAGGAAGGAAGTCTCCAAGGCCTCAGGATGGTCGTGGGTGGGTGCCTTGCGCTGCGGGTTGGCCACCTCTCCACACACCTCTTGAAATGCTCCCATATGACCGGGCGTCTTACATAGCCTCTCCTGAGGAAGTCCTACTCACTGCCTTCACGTGGCGGAGGTATTTTTCACCAAAGTGAGATGGCGAAAGCGGATGCCCAGCGCTCTTCACCGGGTTGACTGTCCATTGGATGACAGTCTAGGGGAGATGGCTAAACCCTGATTCCAAACCTCCAACGACTGGCGTATGAAGCTCACTGGAGCTCACCGGCAGACGTATGGACAAAGGGCTTGTTGGATGTCCTGGATGTCTGGCCCCATTCGAAAAGGCGTATGAACCGAACTCCGGTCACCGGCTGCCAATGGATAGTGGACTCCCTACTCCACTCCTACTGCCTTGTAGGTCACACTTGGTTGTGTAAAGGCTAGAGCTGCACTCTCAAACAAAAGGCCGAGCGATTCTGGGGACATCACTCGTACCAAATTCCCATGAAACTTCGTGAACTCTCTTACAAACGACTCTCACCATGCTACGGCGTTCCCGGTAAGCAACGCGCCCTGTGCTCACCCGGTGGCCAGTGTGCGCCGACCAGGTGACGATCTGGTCAAATCAGTTCTAAATCCCTCGCCATTACCATCTTGGCGATGTCGCAGGGGTGGACAGCTGAAAACATGGCTTGGTACAGTCAACGCTGATATGGAGTGCCTGGGGCTACAAACCGTCTACGGACTCCGTCTGTGGAACAAGAATTGGATAACCCTGTTGCAAAACCTTGCATAAGATCGCCGCGCCTGAGCAGCGATGATTCGAGATGTTCATGAAGCCGGCTCATTCTCCCGTAGGAGATAGCCGAAGTAAAGTAAAAGTAAGTAAGGAAGTCTTTTTGAAGAAAAATATTCGAATTTTTAACACACAGCAATGTAAAGTCAGCTGGTCAGTTCTTCTATCTGGGTCAAAATGTCAGTGAATTCTTCAGAAAAGGGCATTTCCAACAAGTTACAAACTTTTATCATTATCTCCCGCCTTCGTTAGCTCCATAATGAAGATCGAACGACCAGGCGGCCAGGAAAAAAGAATTTTCAACAAAAAATTCTAGCTGATGAAAAACCAACAGGCGACAGTCGATTGTTAAATGAATATGTATAAGAAAATGGAGATTGATCAGGCATGCGCCACCGAGGAAACCACCGAATGATATCGCGCACCATCCAGGCCATCGCTGGAGTGGGATTCGAATGGGAAACGACGAGTGGGTCGTCAGTGCGACGGTGACTTTGAGGAGATTTCATGGCAAGGAGGAGATGAGAGATTATGGACAATTGTTGAGCTGTCCAGATGAAGAGGAAATCAGAAATTAGGGTGAAGTGGAAATGTGCAGTTGAAGCCGTATGTTCTACTCGAAATTCAATAGAATAACAACAATACTAAATATTTTCTGTATTCCTCTCATCACCCATACCCTTCAACATCATAGACAACAGTGACAGTTTTAGCGTTGAATGTATTTCCATTCAGTCAATGCTCATGTATGTTGAAATCCAATGATCTATGTTACCTCTTGATATAATCTGACTCGAAATCACTTGAATCTCTAAAAGCGCTACAACTGTTTCTTTGTTTGGTTGCAGGATTCCATCATGAGCTGACATTGGTTAGAGAACCATTGGAAAACCTGGAAGTACTGGACAGCCGTTTCGTCCTAGTTTGAGACTCATCATCAGTACGCACTCGCGCCACGCGGTTTGAACCAAGGACCTTTTGGTTACAAGGTGAGCTCGTATACCATTAAGCCACTCGGACCCGATCCAATGGCCAGTCCATGAGTTCTTACTTGTGCCAATTCACGATATAGCGCAACAACTAGCCAATGTCTTCGGCGAGTATTTGTCCTCACACTCGACCTGCTGCACCCTACTGGTCACGACTTACCACTGGAACCCCAGGTAACTACCTACCTGAATAGGGCCAGTCGCCAGTGAGCATCTCATTGATATTCAAGTATTGGCTTGTAGGGATTTGGTTGATTGGTTACAGGATTTCATCATGAGCTGACATTGGTTAGAGAACCACTGGAGTACTTTCCTTCATTTACGAGTGAATCATACTGCTTGAAAATGGAAGCTTTAAATTTTCAGACTCAGTCGTTTAACTTTTGCATATATCTTATCCTTTTCGTATATTTTCTCTCTCTGTGTGGTTTTTTAGACTGAATTATCTGAACTGTCTGATTTAAACGAAATCAAACAAAAATTGAACAATTTATCATTACAACTTTTTAACGATTATTCCAAACACATAGATCGTGTTAAAAATGCTTCCAACTATCAAATTAAACAAATGATTGAAGAGGCAGTTTTAAAAATTTATCTAGTTATGCAATCACGTGTAGATTATATCACCAGAGGATATACAAGCTCAATTGAACGTGTTCGTGGTGCATGTCGTACTCAACTGGCGAATACAATAGCTATATTGAATGGATTAATTAATGCCGCGAAACGAAGAAATGAAAGTTTTATTGAAGTAAGTTAGAGACTGGATTGTATTACCAGATGTATGTGTACTCATATTAATATATGTGTAAAATTGGCAGTGTGTTAGTAAGTTCTAATGACAGAAGACAAGGGCCAGGCAACAGATCGTTTATTGAGGAAATCAACAGATATTTATAGATTTTTATGTACATTATTATTAGCGTTATTCGGAGTTATAGATCGAAGGTATAAGGAACATAATCCCAGAATTTGATGTAGGTAGACAGATTGTTCAGTGTCGAAAAAAACAACTAATTATATATAGTGGAATTAGATAAGAGGGGTAAGAGTTCAGATTTCTATTGGAAAATACAGATTGGTTAGAGGCATATTACAGGGTTAGGGTCAGAGAACAAAGTGAATTTGCACATCTTGTGGTGGAAAGTTTAAGAGGGTGGGGGTGAATAATGAAGTAACATTTTTTCAACTTAAACAGACAATTAAGTAGATTTAGAAACTTGAAAGTTAAAATTGAATAGAATGTTTCGTAACAAGACAAACACACAGGCATACTGACAATAAAGCAAAACCAAAATGAAATAAATTAAAATAGAATTAGGATTACCAGGGTAGTGAAAGATTAGTCACACTATCTTTCTGTTTACACAGGTCTGGTCGAAGTCTCTTGATAGCAGTGGCTTCAGCGAAGCGAAGTAGCCATGGGTTTCTTTGCGTGTTCATTATTTTCAAAGCTTGGCTAATTTCTACTGTGTCCTGTGTCAATTAAATGTCTGGCGATTGCACTCGATAACACTTTTCTTCCTTTTGTACGGAGACTCTTAGGAAAGTGCTCAGAAAATCCAGTAGATGCTCTTCTCTCAGTCCTCCCTATGCACTTACTTCCGCAAGTGCAAGTGAATTGGTAAATGCAGCTGGAGTTGACGTGAGTAGGGTACTCATCTACCTTTGACTGGGTTAACGAGCACACAGTGTTGTGAAATAGTATCAGTCTGGCTGCTGGAAACGTTCTTTTTAATGCACCTGTGATTCGTTTTTGTGTTCTTGTGGATACGTCTTCCCCTTTGTACACTAGGCAGATGAAAACTGGTTTCTTTTCAACGGTGTCAGGTTTCGGTTTGTGTGCTTCTTCATTTCTATACTTTAATATGAACTTTCGGGGATATCCATTCTCGATAAGGTTCTTTTCGATGACCGCGAGTTCTTCTTCAATCTTGTCTGCCGAACATATTTCTTTGGCTCTGCTGAAAAGCGTTTTTACTAGACCTCGTTTGTAACTGGTTGGGCAAAAGCTGTGATAATTTAAGTATTGATCAGTCCAAGTTTCTTTCCTGTAGACAGATTTTTGAATCGTCCCATCATTTCTTCTTTTTTTTCTTTTTATGTTGACATCTAGGAAATGGAACTGGTTGTTTCTTTCGCAGTCAATTGTAAATGCAATGTTGGGATGAGCCGCATTGAGTTTAATTTAATATGCCTCTAACCAATCTGTATTTTCCAATAGAAATCTGAACTCTAATCCCTCTTATCTAATTCCACTATATATAATTAGTTGTTTTTTTCGACACTGAACAGTCTGTCTACCTACATCAAATTCTGGGATTAGCGTTATTGTTAGCAGAGAAGCAATGTCTTCTGATTGGTTGTTTCCTCGCTGAAAGTTATTCTGTCATCTCTTTGTGGCCGTTTCTTTGAAGGTCAGACCATATATCTGCGAATTATATTTGCACACTCGAAGTCTGCTGTGATTGTTTGTTGAGCTCCTCAAGGTTAGACTTTGTCATTGATTTATCTCGTGACTGCGATTCGGGACGTAAAGATTGACGCGAATTGCTGTCTACCATTTTTGGCTAGCAAACAGCTCTCACCACAAGTAATTCCATATTACTTTGTCTATTAGATATAACGCACAGTGAAACCGTGAAACACATATATTAAGTCCCGCAGAAATAAGTGTAGCCAGAGACAAGCTGAAACCTGAAGATATCATCCCTAAAATAGAAATAGCACTCAGTGGGATAGAAAAAACAACGGCTGACGAATTACGGGCACAATGTACACTAACATTAAAACGACAAAAACGAGGAAAGCTTAACCTGACAAAACCAGAGATAGAAGACCTAAAACACATTAAGAATAACAAGGATATAGTAATCACAAAGTTAGACAAAGGAAATGCAACAGTAGTATTAGACAAATCAGACTATTTGGACAAGGTGAATACTCACATACAAACAGGACCAATATGAAGAAATTAATAAATCAATAGACACAGTTATGAATAAGGTTAAGGAATCGACAGCGGACCTTATACGCCGAATGAAGCCGTTTCTAGGTGAGGCTAAATGGTTTTAATTTAATGCCAAAAACTAATAACCCCAGTAGGATGTATGGTGTTTTTAAAGTTCATAAGTCAGGATACCCTATTAGACCTATAGTTGATTTTAGGAATTCACCTACTTATGAATTATCTAAATATTTAGCCATGGTGTTAAATCTTATAAAAAGCCACTCGAAATCTAGACTAACTAATTCTTATGAACTAAAACATAGATTAGATAATTTAAAGTTAGATAATGAAGAGAAAATGGTTACTTTTGACATTGTCAGTTTATATACATGTATACCAATAAATATGGCTATAGAGGCAGTCTGAAACGAACTCATTTTTAACCAAGAACTCGAACTTAGGATAAAAGTGCCACTTGAGGACATAATGCTGGGAGTACAGCTATGCCTGACTTCAACAGTATTTAAATTCCAGGGGAAAATATGCCAACAAACTGAGGGAGTTGCCATGGGGTCACCAATATCCCCGGTTGTGGCAGATATATTTATGGATAGGTGGGGAAACATAGCAATGTTAGACTGCAGTGTAAAAACGAAAGAAGATGGGAAGTTAAACACACAATAGTGTTTACAGGAAACCCACACATTCAAACAGATATTTGGACTTCAGATCATCCCATCCCATGTCAGTGAAAGTAGGATTGGTGAAATGTTTAAATGACAGAGCACAAAACCTAAGTAGTACCAAGAAAAATCTTGGGAAGTGAAGTATACACGAGAAGCTTTGAAACTTAATAATTACCGTGGTAAATTAGTCAGAAAATATGGAGGGAAATGTAAAAATAAAGTAAATAAGGATAGTAGTGGTAGTGACAATAATAATAATGGTAATATTAATGACAACATGCATGTCAAACATGCGCAACAATAAGGAATCTAAACCATCAGTAGTACTTCCATAAAAGGAATGAACCTCGGAAACCTTACGCAGTGCGTCGGTGGCACAGTGGTTAGGACTCTCGCCGACCATGCACATGGTCCGGGGTTCGATCCCCTGCCGGCGCACACCCGATATCTATGGTCGGCCTGAATTTGGGCTACCGATATCCATGCTGAAAATTCCACACTTGTACTGAAAATACGGTGTGGAATCAAGCTGTAAATCAAAATAAAAAAAATAAAATAAATAAACAATGCAGGCAGGAATAAAAGTGACATTCAAACCCACAAACTCAATTAGAAACAAGCTTTGTTAGTTAAAGGATCCTGTAGAGCCTTTAAAACAAAACAATTTAGTTTATCTAATATCCTGTCTGCAATGATTGTCAGGTCAAATACATAGGTCAAACTAGTAGAACAGGTACAGTCAGTTAAACTAGCCAAGCATAAAAACCTGGCAGTAAAATCTAGATTAGTTGACCCGAATAAGGTAAGAAATCTGGAGAATAGTTCAGCTATACCACTCAATACATGCAGTAACACACAACCAAGGATACAATAAGATGGGATAAGATGACATTTTCAAAATCTAATGAAACAGGATGGATGGAGAGATTGATAACGGGAGCTTTGTTTATCGAATTAACTGCGAACCAACACGTGTAATAGGAATGACTCAACACCTGTCCAGTCGGACATTTGGAGAATTACATTACCCCAATGACGAAAAATAGGAGAGAACAAAGAAAACTATCAAACTCAAGTTTCGAAGTCGTGTGATTATCATTGATGTGATCTGATTATGAAACGCTAAGCAGTTGTGTTCGAAACTGTCATCCAGTGAACAATAAAAACACTTTCACAGACTGTGTTTGTGATATATCTAATAAACAAACTAATATGGAATTATGTGGACTCATATTTACACATTTTTACTATATCGGACAGAACTGTATTTCCTTAGGATTGAGTAGTAAGATAGGATCACTAGCTGTCATAGAAGCGGTGCGGATCTCTGTTGTATGTATTGAACTACTGAGTAGCTTATTATTTTCTTTACTCATGTGTTTATGTAATATGCAGTTGTTCAGATGGTATCATAACTGACTGATCGATTTCAATATAAAACTTTGCGCTGAAGTGCAAAGAAAGTCAAAATAGAGATTCTAAAGAACAACAATAGCATCCCGAGGACCTCAACGGGGAAGTCTGTACCTCACAACATGCCTCAGGGCAACTGTCAAAGATTTCATGGACTGATTGCTTGTTTCGGTTTGATCACGACTAGCCCCTTTCGACCTGATCCTATGTCGGCTAACTTTGGCGGTCAAGGAAGATGGTGACTCGAGACACACAATACGTGTCCTAGCCGTTTCAATCGATTCATCTTCATAACTTCATAGATTGGACTTCCGTCCTAACCTAACACTCTACGCCCAAGCTCAATAATAATCATCATAATGTACCGTTTAAGACGAGAGATAGAAGGCGGACACCTACGATCAAAGACAGCTAGCATTTTCATATATTCCGCGCACAGTCATAAAGCTGAATGGAGCGAAATGATGTACAGTACACACGTCCTTTGGTCGATGGCCGGTTATCATGTCCACTAAGTGAGAGATTACGTAAGTTGGCGAGCATAAACCACACAAACCTTTTTGTATACGTGCTGATATTTCGTCAGCAATCATCTCTTTGCAGCTGATGAAACTTTCCAGATAGGTGAAGTGGTCTACACACTGTACCACATCGCTGTCTATCCTTAAGTCAGGAGTCAGTGTATTCCATTCCTATAGCATCATTTCACATTTGACCAGAACAGATTGTATGACAGACATTCGAAGATTTCTGCTCAAGGTTTGTTCACAGAAGATTCTGCATTTTATCGGCATCTTCACCCAGGAGGATTATATCACTCGCAATATTCTAAGCCAATAAGCCTATCTCCTGATAATAACTCAATGCCTAAGTCACTGAAGCCAGTTGTGGTCAATGTCATTAAATGACATGAATTATGTCGTTTCCAGATGGGAACTTATCTATTAAACCGGCTAATTCTACACCTCAATACAGTTTATTCCATATTTAAGGATTATCACTTGATTAGTAGAACTCAGTTAAAACAAAATTAAATTACGTAAACATTTAGGACAGAGCCGAGATAGTCCAAACATCTGAGTTATACAGATAGAAAATTAGCGTAGTTACGGGATCTTTGAATAAGTGTTAATAAGGATGACATCTTTTGTCATGTAGAGCTTCCTGGGAATTCCCAATATGGGAACCATTCGAAAACCTGGGGGTACTGGACAGCCGTTTCTATCCAGTTTAGGACTCACTGACATTACGCTCCCACTGGAGTACAAACGGTTACAAGACCAGCTCGTAGGACATTCAGCCACAGGGACCTGATCATATATATATATTCTCCCTTCTTGTTCTCCCATATCCATTATGTTATGACCGGAAGTACGACCTAGTAGACTATGTATTATTATTATTGTAACCTTTTGGTTCCTAGTGGAACATAGGGCTTCAACTGCACGTCTCCACTTGTTTCTGTCTTCTGATATACTTTTCACTTACATCCATGCTAGTCCATTCTGTTTCAACTCGTCTTCACACGATCTCCTCCATGTCACCCTTGGACGTCCCACTCAACGCTTCCCTTTCGGGTTCCACTCGAGCGGAGCGGCCTGCCGACTACCTGCAACCATCCTATATCAATAATTTACAGTGCACCGTGATAGTGAGCCACCTACTGGCATGTTGTGCACACTGCAAACTTGACTGGTAGAATTTAGTCTGCACCAAAGGTAGGAATAGACGCGCACACAATACGCTGTTTACTGACTTCTGTCGAATCAAAACTAGGTGTACATAACACATGAGATCGTCATATTTTTACATATTACTATTCTTTCTCCCTTAATTTTCTGCTCATTATGGGCTCTCTAAAGGTGACTCTAAACTATAGCAGCCCAAAACGAAAATATCTAATAAAGACGTTGACAGATCTATACCGACCAATCAGATGCGTTAGAAGAAGAAGTGCGTAATTTAAATTAAACATCTATACACAAGTAATGCAATGCTAAAAAAATGGTTACTTGGGATAACATTCTTACATATGATCCAAGAAAACCTCCCAATTTATCACAGGAGTCCTCATACTCAGGTTAAACCAATTTCTTCACATAAATTCGCCTAGATACCCAGCTAGCATTTTCTTCTGGTGCACTGCAGAGAGTGGAACATTTACCCGAAGTCCGCTCCAAACAATCTGTAGTGGGCCCAAAGTCAATGCTAGCCGGGTAACTGTGAATCAGCGTGCTTCTTGACTCATTCACCGCTCTGATAAGTGTGACTCTAGAAATTTTCGATGGAATTTTGTGAGTCCTGTCGAAAGGATTGATGAAACCGTGCGTATTATTTACCGCATTATGAATATAGCCCACGGATGACAACTGGCTGCAGGTTTTCTCCCTCTCAATAAGCCTGTTGTCTAAACATTACTTAAATATTAGATTTGGACAAAATTTGTTGGTAACAGTAAAGAATAGAAACCAACTTCAGGTGACCTTGAAACAGCCAATCAGACTCCTCCGGTTGAAAAGTGGTATTTCATTTATAAAACAGTATACCTATGATAGATATGTAATAAAAAGGAATAATATAGGATATATCTATCTCTAATATGCTGCAAAATCTGGCCCCAGTTTCTCGTAGAAGTGGTTACAGACATATCAAACTGGTGTATTCTCTATTTATGTAGCTGTAGCAGATACTGGTCGCATATATGCAATATATTACTGAAGGTGATTTTCGATTTCAAGAAGAAATCGAGTGGTGGTTGCATCTGAATGCATAACCAACAATAGCCTGGCAATACTTTTTTTCCAGAGTTATTATCCCTCCAAATATGCATGTTTTACTCGCCGCCCCCCTCCCATATCAACCCATTTTCCACAGAGAAGTCAAAAACCAAATCTAGAAGACACTTGCAAAGAGGATTATGACTAGCATGCATTTGTAATGCTTAGCTATCTGATTGGTCGGATCAAGGTCATTCGACTTTGGTGTCTATTGTTTACTCTTGCCAATTTGTTAAATAATTCGTACACAGTACCCATAATTCTGCCTATATGCTACGGACTCATCTGACCGGCTGCTTAAGGTCACTAATCCGTTCATTAGGCAGTTTTGTTTTGGGCTGCTATAGAGTCTAGAGTTACCTAAATGTGCAAGACATATTTAATCAAATTTTATTTCTTTTTGGAATCAGAAATTAAATATAAATTGCATAAGGGTAATCTAGCATATCACTAATGATATTTAGTGAGTTATTGACGATGGTAATCCCCTGATAGACGGAAAGATTCTGCAAAATGGAAATTACAGGAGAACATGTATCATTAGGTCCCCTGTCAGAATATGGAGACGCGATTACTTTCACTTTCCACTTTAATGATTGCTACAAAAAGTAATCAGTCATATTCAGAATTTGAAAGGCATTGGGATTATTCCAGTCTTATTAGTGGGCATTAAGATCCATTCCTTTGGTTTTCAACTGCTCTTATAACGTAGTAATACATACGATGTGATACTGTTAACGTCGAAGTCAAAGCAGATTGGTCATCTGATTGGGTTTTTACTATTGAGGTATAATTTCGGTTTGTTCTTAAAAGATTAGAGGCAATCGGTTAGAAGCCTTGGACCTAGGTTTCGTATTTGTTGGCACGCGTCAGCGGAGGGTATCTACAAACTTTAAGGAACTCATGTCCCTTTTGAGATTCAAACTCCTATCACTCAGTACTGCAGTCAGAGACGTTATCATTGAGCTATATGGGCTAAAAAATAAACCCCCTGTTGGAATTAAATGCTTACTTTGATTGGACGCCAGGTTCGTAACTAATGTCATTCGTTTGAATCTCAGAAGGGACATGAATTCTTTGAAACAAAACTCCAAGGCACCCTGGCAGTCTACTCCAGCCATCTTACAACAGTACGGGACACACCAGTATGACGAACCTACATAGTGTGATGGCCACATTGCAAACTCAACTTATAGAATGAGGACTAAACTAAACGACATTATTTACTACATGGCATCCCATAGAATAAAATTCTATTTAAATTTTATACTACTGAATAATAATTCAGTAGATTGATTGTAATATGCAATATTTTAACATAATTCCTAACTTATGCATATGCCTTTTTCAGAGTACACTTCGAAATCGTATATTGGAATTGGAAACTGCCCTTCAACAATACGAGTTAGATATCAAACAACTTCAAACAAAGTTGGAAGAAGTTGAAGAAAAATACGACACTTTGAATCTTGAGAAAACAAATATTATAATGTCAAGAAATTCTTCTCTGGAATCCTTTCCATCAGAAAACCTACCACCCAAAGTTATTACTGTTCAAACAGATGCAGCTGTACAAGTTGAAACACCGGATGAAAAAAGGCAATCGTTGGAAAGACAAGTTAAAAATCTTTTAGAACAAATCGATGTATGTTTAAGGAAGTGGCATATTTTTTTTATTCAGAAGAGCTATTATAACACTGCATTATTATTATTATTATTCACTTGCATTCCAAGTAGAACACAGAACGGGATTAAGTGATAGTACTAAAAAGTAGTAAAGTTTGGTTAGGGGAAAAATTTTTTGTCTAAGTCAGTTTTAATTTGCCTGTTGATTGACTGGACCAAAATTTTCGCTTTTTATAAACGAAGCTGGTGTGCAGTTTACCTTCATCTATTCGTTTTATTTTACAATCTAATATCATAGCTAATTCGCCTTGTTCATTTTCCGATTCAAATGTGAATTTCATTCCCTTTACTAGTGAGTTTAAGTTGTGTATGTAAAGAACCTGGAGAGAGATATGTTCTGTTGTATTTTATTGATAATTCTAATATTATCTTCAAATGTCCTTTGTCTTATATTGATTTTATTCAAATGTCTAATCACCAATTTTTACTCATGTATACAAACGACGAAGCAAGAAAGTTGTGTGAGTAGTGCCTTGATATGATGATTGTGAGCAGTAATAAATTGTGCTGGAAACGTTGTCATCATTAAATATTACTGTAGATGTAACACTGTGACTTTTTGCGCATAATAATAGAATTATTGATTCAATATTGATTACACCCAGAAATTTTAATGTTAATGATTAGCATTCATTTTCTTACATTATATCTGAGAATTTGTTATTTAGATTATTTCCGTCTTTGATGTGATTATGTTCTCTTAATCCGGGTAGTTTAGTTGAAAAATTATCACTGGATATCTAGGTAACATATTTTCGGTTGGTTAAAACAATAATAATAATTAGAATTCATGGGTTGGTCATTGAATGGTATACGAGCTAGCTTGCCTTGTAACCGGAAGGTCCTGGGTTCGAATCCCGTGGCGCGTTTGCGTACTGCCACTGATTCCTAAATCTAGGATGTAACAGTTCACTATCCAGTACTCCGGTGCTGGTTTTCAATGCTTCTCTAACTGATCAATATCAATCCGTGATCTACCCTTAAAAAGAGAAAATATAATCGATTTTTTTGGATTTATATATTTTCAAATCGATAACAACGAGAGTAAAGCTACAATTTTATCTTTATTTTATAGGTACTTAAATCAGCGTTAAGTGCTGTTCAATCACAAGTTAAAACATTGACTGAAAAACATGATCAATACGAATTACAGTTGAAATCGTTCAATAATCAAATCAATGAAAGTAAAGCGGAAAATTCAAAATTAGAAAAACAATTATTAAGTAAAGAAAATGAACTCATTGTCTGTCGGCAAAAAATGAAATCATCTGAATTACGACTGAATGAAATGTTAACATCATTGAATAAGTTAAGAGGTGAAAAAGCTCAATTAGAAAATGACTATGCAATAAATCGTGACAATGAAATGGTGAGATTTAGTGTGAATGGTTATTGTTTTTTTTGTCAAGTATTGATTTTTATATTGATTTTTGTTTGTTTGATCGATTGTCGGATTTCATCATGATAAGCTGAGGATCATTGGAAAGCCAGCTGGAAGTACTGTCAGACAGCTGTGTTTCGTCAGCCTACTTTGGTGGTTTTGGTCTTCAACATTACGCATCCGCCACCAAGGTTCGAACCCATTGAAACCCAATCAAATGGCCTGTGAATTCTAACTCCTGTCATTTCGCGACATAGCGCAACCACTTAGCAATTTCTTCCCTGATGGCTGGCTGGATTCAACATAGAACTTGGCACCGAAGTGCAGCAGTTCGAGTTGCCATGTTTAAAATAGCACACAAAAGTAGTCAAGAAGATGAGTGAAGAAAATCAATAGAGTTTTGACAAGCATAAAAGTAAAACAGAAAGAGTAATGGTAGAAAGGAATATGAAAGATTACAGAGACTGAATACATCTGCGCTAGCCATTGACAACGATTTTGAGCCATGTCACCTATTGTCTCCAGCCAGTGATTCTTAGAGTCCCGAGGGTGGGCCCCAACCCGGAAGTCTGCATCTCCCTACCTGACTCAGTTTAACTGTCAAGGATTTCATGGATTGATGAGGCCATGTTTTTGTTTGACCACCACTTACTCTTTTCCAACCTGCACCTATATCAGCTAGTAATGCCCGTCAGGGGAGGCGATGACTAGACATCCGTAGTACGTGACTTAACCATCTCAATCTGTTTAACTTTATAGCCTTTTCGATTGATTTTCCCTCTTTGCCCAACACTCTACGCCTAACGTCAACATTACTTACCTTATTATGCCACCTAACGTGAGAAAGAGATCGTAGACATCTATGATCAAAAACAGACAACCTTTTCATGTCTTCAACTCTTATTGGCCATGTTTCAGAGCCATAGAGAAGGACGGAGCGAAGTGCTGAGCAGTACACACGTCGCTTGGTTGATAGCCGGATGTCACGCCTATGCCAGAGATGGTGTAAGTTAGCGAAAGCAGCCCGATGAATAAATGTTCTCATCTTCGATCTGCTTATGAAAGACATTGCTAAGTGGTCGCGCTGTATTGTGAGCTGACAGAAGTTAGAATTCATGGGCTGGTGTCACTAGGGGTCGGATCCCAGTGGCTTAATGGTCTACAAGCCAGCTTGCCTTGTAACCGGAAGTTGCTGGGTTCGAAACCCGCAGTTGGGGTGCTTACTCATGAAGAAGGACCTGGTTGGGACGAAACAGCTGTATGCCAGTACTCCAGTGGTGGGTCCCCAATGGTTCTCTGACCGATGTCAGCTCAAGATGAATGATTTTCGCTTACATTCTACAAGTATTATAAATGTTCAAGATTAGTCCTCGAAATGATATCAGATGGACGACGACTGAGAACAAACAAATCTGTACAGGGTAGCAGAGGGTGACAACTTACAACAGGAGTTCTGGTTAGAAGCTGCGACCAGCAGTGGAGTACACCTTGTTGGGTTTCAGGACATATACACACCGACGATATTTACTGAAAGTGGAGCTATGTATTGTGGATAAGCAGAAGTTCCATTTCATTGAATAGTGACACTAAATCACCTAGAAAACTGAGCAGTTTTCAGGTATTTATTAGTATCCACCGACGAATTCAGATTCATTGAGTCTTAAAGTGAGCATATTTAGGCAACGAATGAGAATTCACTGATCCCCCCCTGTTTCCTGTTCTCTTAGCAATGAAGATTTCAGGGTTTTCAGACAGGTTTCACACAAATCACTCAGCTAAATATCAATTTATACTGTACTCTATTTATTGACACAACCTGGAAGATCTACGGGCAAAAGTAACAAGTTGGAGGCAGATGCAACGAGGGCAGGAATTCAAGTAAACATAGAAAAGACGCATGTGATGAGGATATCTGACCACCATCTTGAACAATAACAACAACAAGCATCACCTCTTTCGCCTATTTTGGCAGTATCCTCCCAAGTGAAGGTCACCATACGGATGAGGATGCCAAGGGCAGCCAGGATCGCAAAGCCAAGTCAGATATTCACTGCACCCAAATCAACGTTGAAGTCTCCTCCAATCAGCATTAGGAAGAAGATTGAGATTTTTGACAGTGTATTATTATTATTGTTCCCTTGGGTTCCCAGTGGAACATAGGGTTTCAACTACACGTCTCCAGTTGCTTCTGTCTTCTGCTGTACTTTTCACCTGCATCCATGTTAGTCCATACTGTTTCAACTCCTCTTCACACGATCTCACCCACGTCATCCTTGCACGTTCCACTCACCGCTTCCCTTTTGGGTCCCACTCGAGCGATGGCCTGACGCGCGATGTCACCCAGCGGAGGCCTCCTCAGCGACTGTCCAATCCATCTCCACTTTCTCCTGCATATTTGTTGAGCGATTGGTTCTTATTTTGTTTGTTCCCATAGTTTCTTGTTGGTGATTCTTTCCGGCCATCTGATCTTCAGTGTAGAGCAAAGACAGTTAGTTGTTGATAAAGGTCTGCAACAGGCTTTTGGAAATATTCTTTGTGAACAGCCAAGTTTCTGATCCATATAGAAGAACTGACTGACATGACGTTAATACTGAAAATCCGAATTTTGTTGTTGATGCTGGGTTGAGTGAGGAAGATTTCCAGATTGGATTCAGGTTGATGAATGTGTTTCTCGCCCTCCCGATTCTCGATTTGACATCTTCGTCCGTTCCTCCTGTAGTTGAGACAATTCTCCCTAGATAAGTGAATGAAGAAACCTCTTTCAAATCCCTCTCGTTGATGGTGATTGGCGCTGGATGTTGCTGCTGCTGTTGTTGTTGTTGCTTGTTGGTTATTTTCATAACCTCCGTCTTGTCTATGTTCACATGGAGTCCTGTCTTCGCCGGCTGCTTCTTCGACCAGTTTGTCAGTTTTCGCTTGTAAGTCTTCTATCTTGTGTGACATCAAACATAAATCCTCCACGCGCGAAATCCAGGTCTTCTAGGTTCTTCACGTCTGTCAAGGCAGGATATCCCTGTCTTCTCGTTTCCCACTGTTTGATGCATAATCCAGTCCACCACAATTAGGAATATCATTGGTGATAATAAGCACGCTTGTCTGACTCCTGTGTTTACTCCAAACGCCTCGCTGACTTTTCCGTTGTGGATCACTTGACATGTGCCGTTGTCGTACAGCTGTTGAATAAGGTTGATGAATATTTGGGATGCACCGTAGTACTCGAGTAGTTTTCAAATTACTTCGCGGTCAACACTGTCGAAGGCCTTCTCAAAGTCTATAAAGTTGAGGTAGGGGTTTGATTGTCATTCCATGCTTTGTTCGATGATGATGTGGGTGAAAATCGAAGTTATTTGGACTTATGCTGCGGAGACTTTCGGGTGACGCTCTAGGTCATTCAGTAGAACATGAATGGGAGACGACAATCTCGACGTGGCTCCAAGGGTGACATGCAGACTATCATGTGACGAGGATTCAGATTCAGATTATAAGAATAGAAGACTCTTGTTGCCTATGCTAATCCTTGCCAAATGTATATCTCTGGAGAGATGCAGTTTCTCTTTGAAAGCGTTCACCGATGCAGCTGTTACCACTCTATCAGGAAAGGAGTTCCACGCGTTGACCATTCTGTAATAGAATCTAAATTCCTTACGTATTTTATTCGAACTCGATTTGAGCACCTCCTTGTGGTGATCTCGTAAATGTATCCTAGAGGGAGAGAAAAAGTTTGAAAGCTCAATCCCCTTAAATCACCCTTGAATATACGGTAAGGCAGAATTAAGTCGCCACTCCTCTTTCGTTATGATAATGGGAAGAGATTTAAATACTCCATTCTCTTATCATAAGGAAGGTGTGAGATACCACTAAGTAATTTGGTTCCTAGCCTCTGTACTCTTTCCAGGATATGTGCGCCTCCTTTTTGAAGCATGAACTCACCGCTTGTATGCAGTATTCTTTCTAGATGAGGTCTGACATATGTTGCATAAAGTAGTACTTGGATGTCACAGTCCATATGATCAATCTCGGAGTCAGGTAAAAGAAGACAGCAGAGAATGGGATAAAGTAGAGATGGGCTGTTGGGAGCTATTTTGCACTTAGAACCCTAAAAGAAAAATAATTAAATAAATAAAGAATTCATAGGTGTTTGTATTCCACCCAAGAAGGAGGCTGATTGGTTGATGGACTAACCTCGAAATTTGAGAGTAGGTTCATGGGTGCGTACTGCTGACCGGGAAGAAATAGTTCTCGAGTACTCGATGGTTTTCGGTGGTTCTCCAACCGTTATCAGTTCATGACTTCATTTGAAATTAATCGATTCCCAATAATCTAACACTTGAAATTTTGTAGGCATTGTTGATTTTTTCTTTTACTATTGAAGAGCCCAGAAATAAGACCAAATTGTCTCTCTGTCTCTTTTCGACATAGTACTTTGCACATATGTGCGGCAGTTCAAGTCGCCACACTCCATGTAGCATACAAAGCAAGAGAAGAGAGTGGAAGGAATGCATAATAGAGACAGTAAACAGAGGGGTGAGACAAAGGTAGGGTAATAACGAAGAACAATATAGTTTCATTGGAAATCATAAGTCACAAGGAGTGGATGCATCTGCGCCAGCCATCACGGAGAACGATTCTGAGCCATGTCACCAATTGTTTCCAACCATTGGTTTTTACCGTCTCGAGGACCCCAAACAGTCAGGAAGCCACTCTACACCTCCCTACGTGGCCTAGACTAACTGCTGTAGATTTCATTGGCTGGTGTCATGTTTTCGTTTGACAGCCGCCAGCTCTTTTCCAGCCTGACCCTATACCAGCTAACATTGCCCATTGTCGAGGAAGGCGATGACTAGGCATACGTAACACATGTCCTAACCATCTCAGTCAATGTAATTTCACAGCCTCGTCGATTGATTTCCCTCCAATCTACCTAGCACTCAACGCCTAACCCCAGTATTGCCCACCTTATTATACCACTTCACACGGGAGATAGAACGCAGACACCTATGATCGAAGACAGCTAATCTTTTCATGTCTTCCACTCTTAATGTCCAGGTCTCACAGTCAAGCCATAAAGAAGGACGGAGTGGACCGCTGAGCAGTACACACGCTCCTTGTTTGATAGATAGTCGGATATCACGTCTAGGCCAGAGACGGCGTAAAATGGCATATGCGAAACTAGCCCTCTGTATTCGTACTGAGATTTCGTTGGAGATCAACCCGTTGGGGCTGATGCTACCTCTCAAGTAAGTGAAGCGGTCAAAGTGCTCTACCACTTCACTCCCTATTTCTAATCTAGGAGTCAGTGTAGTCCAGTCCTGTAACATCATCTTACATTTGGTGGAAGCGAATCGTGTGCCAAACATTCGTAAATTGCAGCTCAAGGTGTTCAGAAGACTCTGCATTTTGTCAGACCAAACAGATGTTTAAATCTCTGTTGATTTTCAATGGTTCGATAGCTGATATGCATTTGCCTCAAAAGAAAAAAATCCATACTGAAATTCAAATTTTTAACATTCATTTTCTGCAATGAAAAGGTGCAGTCCAAGGAATATTGTATTTCACATTCCATCAGTTTTTTTTACTTATTTCTGTTGATATTACTACTTCATTTGGACGTATATACACAGGTGTACAGACACAGAAAGAAGAAATAAATACATGAATCAACATCTGTTAAATAAAAAAAATTTTGTAGATCGCGCTACATTTCATTGTGTTCAGTTTTCAATGGAGCATGCAATATTCATGTGAATTTTAATGTGAAAATAAATTTTATTCGACTTTCTGTCTAAATTTTTTTTCTTTTCTTTTTTTTTAAAGAAACAATTGAAACAGAAATTAGATGAATTGTTAAAAATTAAAGAAGCATTAGAAGATGAGTGTAGCTCACTTCGTAAAGAATTAATGCATATGAAAGAAGCACCAAAAGTTGTACAATCAAGTGATACTAGTATGAATAATTATGCACTTCGTGAACAAGCTCTTGTAGCTGAGGTGAGTCACTTTTGTACAAGTTAGTGGATAGTGTATACAATAATGTACTTAGTGCGTTTCTATTTATGCAGAGTTTTCTCTTGCTTTGAATACTATTGGATTGTAGATGATAGAGATTCTTCTAACCTTGTTTAGCCTTTTCAACCTTGAGTTGTTGTGTTGATAAACGCATATATTTGTAGATCAAACCTCAAACTGCAATAGTTACGTGTTTTTATTCGTTTACATTCCCAGTGGAACATAGGGGTCTCAAGCTAGAGGCTTGGAGTTTCTGTAGCAGTCGTTTGTTTAATTTTACGGGATGGAGTTGCTAGCCTCATGCGCAAGGTTCCCTCTTTATTATTATTTCCTTTAATTCCTACAGGAACATAGGACTTCAGCCGTGCGTCTCCACTGCGTTCGGTTCTCCGCTAGAGTCTTCACCTGACTCCAAATCTGCCCACACGCTTTCATCTCCTCTTCACATGACCTCCTCCAAGTCACCCTTGCACTGACGACCAACTCGCCGCTTCCCTTTCGGCCAGGTTCCACTCAAGCAATGGCTTGTCTAGTCATGTCACTTGATGGCTTCCTCAGAGTATGGCCAGCCAATCCATCTCCATTTCTTCCTGCCTATTTGTTTCACAATCGGTTCCTGCTATGTTGGTTCGCTCATTGCCAGAGATCTCTGTTACTGATCTTTTCTGGCTGGCCATCTGATCTTGAGTGGTATTGAGCGAAGACAACTGATAATGAAGGTCTGTAGTTTGTTTGAGATGCTCTTTATGACGCGCAGTGCAAGTCTCTGATCCGTACAGTGAGTAGCACTGACTTCAAAGTGGAGTTAAAAATCCGGATCTTATTTTTGATGCTGAGTGCTGTTGACCTCCACACAGACTTGAGAGTAGTGAAAGCTTGTCTCGATTTTCCGATTCGTGCTTTGATATCGTCGTCAGTTCCGTCCGTCTGTAGTTGAAACGATGCTTCCAGGTAAGTAAAGGAGGTTGTTTCTTTCAGATTTCTTCCATTTATGCTGGCTGATTGTTGTCTGTTGTTGTTATTCTTGTCCCTCTTTACCAGTCTTATTATTGGCTTAGCGAGGTAGAGGTGAGCGTCGGCTGGGGATCGAACTCCGAAACATAGTGCCACCGACTCACCAATAGTTACGTTATAACAGTATAACGAAAACATCGCCTATAATCTATTGAGAGACAGTGAAAATTGGTAAAGCTGCTCTGGTTTTGAAGGAAATGTTCTCGGGCACTGTAGCCTCCAATCTGATATGACCTTTTTCACAAATATTTCATTTCATGGATCTGTTTACACGATATGTTAGCATTCTATCTTCCCCCCTCCTGTTAATTTCACAATTTGAAATAATAGATATCAATATCTGTCGAAAATGCATTCTTTTTGGGATATCACTACGCAACTTGTGAATAGGGGGTCAAAGTCATAAAATGTTAAAGTTACTAAAGTTGTATGCAAAATGTGCGCGATACTAAAATTTTGATAGTTACTTTTTTAAAGATATTATTGATGAACTCATTCTTCACTGGAATCAGAGAGACAGAATGATGTGGGTTGATGAAGGCTGTAAAAATGCAAAACTCCTTCCGTAACAGGCTTAATTCAGAAAAAACAAACCATGTGCGGATCAAATCGCAACGTTACGCATGCAGTTGAGAGTGCAGGTAAATTCTACACATCAGCTATATCGACTGTATAACGATATTAAACAGGTTTGACTGAGAAATAATTAAGAAGCTACTTCAACCCTATGCAGTCCCAAAGATGTGAACCTACATTTTTACAATGATAGTGAGTAATTGATTCGTGAGGCCAGCAACCCCACCCTGTAAACAAACCTGCTACAGAAACTTCACCATGAGCAATCTCCTTGCGACAAAAGAAAAAGTCTGTGTGGGGACATGGAATGTCCGCACTATGTACGAGACTGGCAAAGCTGCCCAGATCGCCAGCGAGATGAAAAGATACAGAATCCAAGTGCTGGGAATATGTGAAAGCAGATGGAATGGAAGTGGACTCACCAAATTATCAACGGGAGAGTCAGTGATCTACTCCGGTCACCCAGAAGATAACCACACGCACACCGAGGGCGTGGCTATCATGATGTCACCAACGGCAACGAAAGCCCTGATGCAATGGGAAGCGATCTCGTCCAGGATAATGACCGCCAGATTCAACTCCAAAGGACGAAAAGTGTCAATAATCCAATGTTATGCACCCACCAACAACGCAGACCTCGAAACGAAAGAAGAATTTTACAGACAACTACAGGCAGCAATAGACAATACTCCAGCTGGCGACATTAAAATACTAATGGGAGATATGAACGCCAAACTGGGACCAGACAATACAGGAAGAGAACTCATCATGGGTAGAGAAGCTCTTGGAGAAATGAATGAAAACGGAGAACTCTTCGCCGACTTCTGAGCCTTCAACGAACTAGTGATTGGTGGCAGTGTTTACAAGCACAGAGATATCCACAAGGCTACATGGGTGTCACCAGACGGGCGAACCAAAAACCAAATTGACTTTATCACAATATCGAGGAAGTGGAGACGCAGCCTACTGGACACAAGAGCAAGAAGAGGAGCAGACGTTGGCTCAGACCACTACCTCGTACAAGGGACAATCCAAATCAAATTAAAAGCTTTCAGGGAAACAGGAGCTGCAGATAGACCACAAGCCAAGTTTAACACTCAAAAGCTGAAGGACCAGGCTACAAAGGACATCTTCATTGCAAACATAAGGGAAAAAGCCGAGACACAAATCAACACCAACGAAAAGGTCAGCGTCGAAAAGCACTGGAACAAATTGAAAACGGTGTGGAGTCAAACCTGCATGGAAGCCCTAGGCAGAAAAAAGAGACAGGACAAACAGTGGCTCTCTACGGACACTTGGAAACTAATAGAAGAGAGAAGGGTGGCGAAACAAAAGATTATCCAGTGCACCGACGAGCAACAAAAACAGGAGTTGAATGCAAGCTACAATGCACTGAACAAAAGAGTGAAGAAAAGTGCCAGGGAAGACAAAAGAAAATATTGTGAAACCATGGCAAACGAAGCAGAACAAGCTGCAGGCAAAGGAGACCTCGCTACACTATACCAAACAACTAGGCACCTTTCGGGAAAAAGTTCGACACAGATTAAGCCAATAAAGGACGACAATGGAAAGTCAATCACCAAAGAGGTGGAACAGAGGAAGCACTGGGCTGAACACTTCAAAAGACTTCTAAATCGTCCGCCACCTACAACGCGTCCAACAATACCAACAACGGAAGCAGAACTACCAATGAACATCGACCCTCCGACGAAATCCGAAGTCCTGAATGCCATCAAGATGCTAAAAGCTGGGAAAGCGCCAGGACCAGATGGAATCCCAGCAGAAGCTTTGAAAATAGACCCAGAGACAACAGCGGACTTGATGACGCCACTACTAGAGAAGGTGTGGAAAGAGGGCAAAGTACCCGAGGATTGGAAGAACGGATACTTATTCAAACTACCAAAGAAAGGAGATTTGAGTCAATGTAAAAACTGGTGTGGAATTATGCTTCTGTCCATTCCAAGCAAGATACTATGTCGCATCATCCTGGAGAGAATTAAACAAGCCCTAGATGAAAAACTCTGTCCGGAACAGGCCGGATTCAGGAGGAACAAGTCATGCATTGACCAAATCGCCACCCTACGGATTATCATTGAACAAAGTTTGGAATGGCAGTCACCTCTCTATCTCAACTTCATCGATTTTGAGAAAGCCTTCGACAGCGTCGATCGAGAGGTGATTTGGCAACTACTTCGCTACTACGGGGTGCCGCCGACAATTATACATCTCATCCAACAGCTGTATGACAACGCTGCATGCCAAGTAATCCACAACGGGAGGCTCACGGAATCCTTCGAAGTGAGGACAGGAGTGAGACAAGGCTGTCTACTGTCACCAATGATCTTCCTGATTGCAGTTGATTGGATAATGCGGCAGACAACGGCAACCAACGAGGGAACAGGCATAAAATGAACCGACACAAAAGCCTTGGAGGATTTGGATTTCGCCGATGATATATGTCTGATTTCCCACAAACTGGAAGATATGCAAGTGAAAAGCAACAAATTGGCAGAAGAAGCAGCAAAGATAGGACTTCAAGTGAACATAGACAAAACAGAGGTAATGAAGATTCCTGGCCAACATCAACAGCAACAACCGACAACAATCAGCATAAATGGGAGGAACCTGAAGGAAACAACTTCTTTCACCTACCTGGGAAGCATCGTCTCAACTACAGGAGGAACTGACGAGGATATCAAAGCCAGAATCGGAAAAGCAAGACAAGTTTTCATTTCTCTCAAGTCTATGTGGAGGTCAACAGCATTCAGCGTCAAAAATAAGATCCGTATTTTCAACTCCAATGTGAAGTCAGTACTACTATACGGATCAGAGACTTGGCGTGTCACAAAGAGCAGCTCAAACAAGCTACAGACCTTCATTAACAAATGCCTTCGCTCAATACTCAAGATCAAATGGCCGGAGAGGATCAGCAACAAAGATCTCTGGGAGTGAACCAACCAGGAACCGATCGTGAAACAAATAGGCAGGAAGAAATGGAGATGGATTGGACACACTCTGAGGAAACCAGCAAGTGACATCACTAGACAAGCCATTGCTCGAGTGGAACCTGGCCGAAAGGGAAGCGACGAGTTGGTCGTCCAAGGGTGGCTTGGAGGAGGTCATGTGAAGAGGAATTGAAAGCGTGTGGGCAGACTTGGAGCCAGGTGAAAACTACAGCAGAGAACCGAACGCAATGGAGACGCATGGCTGAAGCCCTATGTTCCTCTAGGAATTAAAGGAAATAATAATAATAATTGATTGGGAGCGAGAGTAACATTGGTCAGAAATAATTTAAGTCGTTGAATAATTAAGAGTGAAAAGGGTCAACCATTTGTAGAAGAATTGCATAACTAAGCTTGGATCAAATGGACAGAGTTCATCACTTGTTTTGTGGATAGAAATAAAGTTTAACTAGAAAGAGTATAGGAAGTATTAAGTTACGTAACCACAGAAAGACACGTTTTTATAAAACAGACAAAAAGGGAAGGCGTAGGATGAGTTATATTTAGCCGAAAAATATCCAAGTTTCCTAAACAGGACAGGAGATGACGCAATGAAATTTCTGTACCAAGGCAATGCAAAATTCACCACTTTCTCTTTCTGCGTACATAGATTTGGTTTTAGCCGTTTGGACTGCGATTGCCTCAGCAAAACGAAGCAGGCTAGGTTTTGTTTGTCTTTGAGTAAAGCGAGAACAACAGTTGTCGCAGAATAAAGTGGTACCGTCATTTAATTCGTTGGGATCTCATCAGCTGCTTACAGGCCAAAGTCATTATTAAATATATCTACAGAAACAATTTTTAACATACTTGCACAGAGTTCATTAAAAACAAAAATCAATCAATCAACGCATGCATACACTAATAATATATACATATATGTATGCAATATTGAACACTATTCCGAACAATAATAATCATACACAATGAAAACTTTCGGAATTACGCATTCAGATGAAAGAGAGCTGAAAATATCCAGTTACCAGAGCAAAGAAAGACTGATAATCGCTTCTTTCTGAACGCATAAATCAGGTTTCAGGCTCTTGATGGAAATGGCTTCAGCAAACTTGAGAAGAATTGAGCTCTTTTGCCTAGTGATAATTTTGAACGACTTTTCGACGCCCACCTCATGACCCATGTCGAGGAGATGTCTAGCGATGTCACTGTATAAAACATTTGTTCCCCTTAGACGTAAGCGTTTTGGTACATGTTCAGAAAATCATAGATTTGCCCTTCTTTCTGTTCTTCCAATGTAACTGTTCCCGCAAATACATGTGAATTTGTATATACAGTTGAACTTACCATGAGAAGGGCATCTGTCGACTGCAGCAAAGAGCGAGTTGTTTGATTGACGGGGACGAGCTCAGCTGCAGGGTAGGCTATGGCTAGCGACGTACTCAGTCTTCTGTTGATCATCGCTGTAATGTTTTCACCTTTATAATCAAGCTGAAAGTAGATTGGCTTTTTTTCCACTGTGATTTGTTTTACATTCGTGAATTCAGATCTTCCATACTTGTTGATGAACGTTTGAGGGTACCCATTGCTCTTCCCTATCTTTTGAAGAAACTCAAATTCTTCCTCTAATTTCTCTATAGAGCATATTCTCCTCGCTCTATAGTACAGAGTCTTGACTAGACCACGTTTAAAGCTATTTGGACAAAAGCTATTGAAATGTAAGTATTGTCCTTTCCATGTAGGCTTTCGATAAATTGACTTCTGTAGACTACCCTCTTGTAGGCATTGCATGGCAATGTCGAGGAAGTGGAACTTTCCATCACTTTCATATCCTATAGTGAACTCAATAGTAGTATGCGCGTCATTGAATAATCTGAGTAGGTAGGAAGCATGACTTTCATTATTGCACACTACAAATGTGTCATCAACATATCGACAGTAGGAATTTATTTCGTCGATTGCATGCTTCAACTTTGTTCTTTCAAGGTTGGGCATGAATATATCTGCTAAAACAGGGCTAAGTGGACTGCCCATAGCTACACCATCTATTTGGCGGTAAGGAGTGTTGTCGAATTGGAATTGCACATCCATGGTACACAAAAGCAGTGGGCGTTGGAATTCCGATTCTGGGAGTGGGGGAAGATCAGACTGCTGACTGACAAGTGATCTCAATAGTTTCATTGAATGGAATCGTTGTGAGCAAGGAGGTTGCATGAAATGACATCATGAACTTACTTGAAATGTTCATGTGGTTCACACTTTCGGCAAAATGAAATGAGTCTTTCATAGTGTGTTGATGAATAGGTTCCAACTTCTGCGCCAGCCAGTGTGCAACCTTATGTTGGGGCGATATGATCTTAGAAAGTATAGGTCTTAGGGAGACTTGTTTTTTGTGTATCTTTGGAAGGCCATATATGTGTAACAAGCGGGACCTTCGGGGTTTCAAATCATTGTAAGTATTGTTGTCAGACAATTTCTTCTTTATGTATGTATGTATGTATAAATGTGGGAAATTTCTTTTGGCTGTTGAGTGACTTCAGGTAATCCACAAAATGGCCAGTGTCTAATAGATGGCGTGCACTCGCACTGTCCAGATTATATTGAACAGATTTGCACATGCCACTCTCTTTCTCTCTCTCTCTCTTGTTTAGATTGTTCGTCTACGGCGTGATTTGAATCGTCTTCATGAAGCTGCAGAATCACGAATCCAATGTTTAAAAAATAGACTGAATGCATTCACTGAAGAGTCATTCAATCGACGTACACTAGAAATGAAAGTATCACAGTTGCATACTGCTGCATTGAAATATGCAAATCAACTTGCTGAATTGACACCAATTAATAAATTACATGGTTGTGATGAGGTAAGGAGTATTTAATATAGAACTAGTATTATTTTACATGGAGAAAGCATGGCAAAGAAATCACAAGAAAAACAAGCAAAGGAACATTTCAAGTATTGGTTTGTAGGGATTCGGTTGATTGGTTGCAGGATTTCATCATGAGCTGACATCGGTTAGAGAACCATTGGAAAACCTGGGAGTACTGGATAGCTGTTTCGTCCTAGTTTGGGACTTTTCAGAGGTACGCACCCACGGGGTTCGAACCCAGGACCTTCTGGTTACAAGGCGAGCTCGTATACCATTAAGCCACTGGGACCCGATCCAATGGCCCATGATTTCTAACTTCTGCCAATTCACGATATAGCGGAACCCCTAGCTAATGTATTAGGCGAGTATTTGTCCTCACACCCGACCTGCTGCACCCAACTGGTCACGGCTTCCCACTGGAACCCCAGGTAACTACCTACCTGAATAGGGCCTACTCGCCTTGTAACCAGAAGGTCCTGGGTTAGAACCGCGTGGGTGCGTACTCATGAAGAGTCTCAAACTAGGACGAAACAGCTATCCAGTACTTCAAGGTTTTCCAATGATTCTCTAACCGATGTCAGCTCATGATGAAATCCTGTAACCAAAGGAACATTTGTTCCTTAGTCGCTTGATAATGGTTGGCAATGCTTTGGCGACTAGGAATCATATTCAATTTCGACAATAATTTGTGCATTAAGTCACTAGCTGCTGCAATTTGTCTCATGTATACCAATAAAGTTTGATTAATTCGGGCAAATGAAGTGAAATAGCAGAAAATTAGAATATTATGTTGTTATTATTAATAATATTATTCATTTGGGATCCAAGTGGAACATTGGGCTTCAACAGGACATTTCCACTACACTCTGTTCTCCACAGCTCTCTTTTCAACTGGCTCCATAACCCCCATCTCCCTCCCACCCACACTCTTCTCCACGTCAGCCTGGGATCGAGGCTTCACTAGTCGTTTCCTATTAGGGTTCCACTCGCTGAATTTGCCTTGTGTGTGATTTCAATCAGCGATGTCCCCAGTGTGTGTGTGTGTGTATGTGCAACCCATTCCTATTTCTTTCCTCATATTTTTTGGGCGGTGGGTTCTTGGTTGGCTAGCTAGTAGAGTTTCTTGTTGCTAAGGTTATGCCCTGCAGTTTTTGAAGAAGGAGACATATGGATCTTCGGGCAGGACCTCGAGGCTTTTGTGGAGTTCAGTGGCGTTCAAGAACTGTCAGTGAAGAGGCTTTAACTTGGGACGCTGCTGAGAGGTTGGGCGAGGGCAGGATATGATAGTGTGAGGCGAAACACCGGCGGATACGCACCAAGGGCACGCAAACTGCTTACAAAGTGGGGAGGACCATACATGGTCACCGCGAGACGGGGTCACGTATCTATGATCAGAAATACAAACAAAGAGAAGCAGGTGAACGTCAGTAAGCTCCAGAACTAGATACAGCAAGACAAGCAAACAAAGACGTAAATACCAAGAAGATCGAACGGACTTCAGTCGAAAGTATTTAATGGTGGCGAGGGGAACTAGTGTGGTAGTGTGATACAGACAATGTGTTCCGAGAGAATATTATTCACACATATTCTCTCAGCTGAGTACTGCATTAGCAACAGAAATATATATAACGGTTTGATCAGTTGAAAATATATGTCCATAAAAGGATAGATAATCCATTGTGTACCTGCCTATATATGAGTGTTGTTTTTCCAGGGTTTGGTTCATAGCCTCATGCCCCACCTTTCGTCTTTTCCAAGTATACTGTCAGACAGTAAAGTAAATGAGGTTTAGGAGTGCGTCGGCCGGGAATCAAACCTCAGACGACGTATGTAGTTAGAGTGGACTCTACCTCTACCACTGAACCACTGATGCGAGACGCATGGATAACCTCTTTACATACATATTTTCAAAATTCATTTAACCTACTACTTTCTGAAGGTTTCCTCTCACAGAAGATGAAATTTCTGATACCAATCAAGTGTTTATCCAAAATGCCTTCAAATGTTTGACTGTAAACAATTCTCTGATGATATTAGATGGTAACATCTATGACTGCAGGTGGCACTAGGTGACGCCGGTTCGAATCTCCTCAGAAGGGAAATGAGTTCCTTTCAGGTTGCAGATACACCTTGCTGACTGATGAGTGCCAACTAGGACGAAACCTAGGTCGTGTTCGAGGCTTCCTGTGGCCGATTTCCTCCAACCATCTAATCAATGCACAACGTGACGGCGAGCTACCTAGTGGAATGGCGGTCACATTGCAAACCTGACTGATAGAATTCATAAGAAAACGGCACAAACAACGAAGAAAATTTTCTTTTCGACGATTCGTTTTCATGAGCGTAATTACAATCGTAATTATATTTAACAAAGAAATCTGTAGACCAATCACGTACCCGTAAAATTTGTCCTTGAAAAATTGTATTACATAGTGTAAGGTGTAACCTAGAAGGGATGACTAATTGTAAGTTAGAAAAGAGACAGAAGTTGGCATGACGTAATAAGTGTGAGATAATGACTAGTCAATAAGCCCGTGTAGAATGGACAGGAACTAGTGGGAAGGCTATAAAGTGTTTTTGTATAAAATCTGTATGAAAAGCACTGTTATTAATAAACAGTAATAGAGTGGTAATAAAATGTGGATGATGGGAACAATAATGATAATAAATAAATTTCTAACGTGAAACCCTACTAGAGAACGGGTATCCACCAAGATTTATCGACAAAAACATGAAGGAGAAGCCCCTGTTGCCAAACATCGCAACTATTCCTAAGAAGACTCTCTTTATGAACCTAGAATTCAAAGGTGATATCGCAGTGGGAATTCTCAGAAACCGCCTTTCTAAATGTCTGAAGAAGACATTTTCAACAGCCACCCTAAGTATCACATTCTTCTGCAGACAGTTAATCCAGTCTAACTCTAAAGACAAGGCACCGCTTTTGGCCATCTCAATGTGTAGTTATCAGTCTACTTGTTCGTGTGGAGCAACGTATATCAGTCGTACTCGACGACAAGTCCACAAATGTATTCACGAACACTGTCCAGCTTGGTTAGCCAGCCAGAGGAGAAAAGAAGAATAGCAGCAGCTCTATCCTCGAACACCTTGTCGTCTCCGGACATGGAGCACCCCCGCTTGCATGAATGCTTCACAGTGCTACACAAAGTCCCTCAATATCGTACAAAGGGACTTCGGATACGCCATCTGTACACAGCTGAAGCATTAGTTATTCGGGATGTGAAACCGGACCTTTGCATTCAAAAGCGATACATACATTCTCTCGTCCTACCATGGACACAGTAAAGTTCTTACCACAATTTTGCTTCTTTCCTTTATTATGCAAGTTCACTATTATTATTGTTATTAATGCTTTTATTATCATTATTGTTCCCATCATCCACATTTTATTACCACTCTATTACTGTTTATTAATAACAGTGCTTTTCATACAGATTTTATACAAAAACACTTTATAGCCTTCCCACTAGTTCCTGTCCATTCTACACGGGCTTATTGACTAGTCATTATCTCACACTTATTACGTCATGCCAACTTCTGTCTCTTTTCTAACTTACAATTAGTCATCCCTTCTAGGTTACACCTTACACTATGTAATACAATTTTTCAAGGACAAATTTTACGGGTACGTGATTGGTCTACAGATTTCTTTGTTAAATATAATTACGATTGTAATTACGCTCATGAAAACGAATCGTCGAAAAGAAAATTTTCTTCGTTGTTTGTGCCTTTTTCTTATGACTCAATTGATATTTGACCTGTTGTAGAGGAGATCCCAAAATACATCAACTATTCAAACAATTCATAAGTTAAAATTAAGGTTTTTAATATTGAGTCACTTAAAATTATGCATTCATCTTTCTTTGTAGGCTATGACACATAATGGAGTCTTCTTGTCAGCTTTACCACCGCCATTGTCTATTTTAACGAAAGTTACTCCTCATCGTAGCAGTTTGGAATTGGGAATTTCAACGGGGATTAGTTTACCGCCTATTGTACGTACTGGTTACTAATAGATAAGAAATTATCTCAGTATAAATGATAAAAGAAGATTACATTTAAATATAATATAATATAAATTTATTTTCTCAAATTTGTTGAATTTTTACTATCTAAATGCTTTTTTACGAGTACTGCTTATAACATTGTCTGACGAAAAAAAAATCAAAGCTTTCACATGAAAATTAAAGTTTCTTGCAACTCATTTCAGTCAGAAAATTCACTTGGATTTGGAAAAATCTGGAACGAACTTACTTTATTTAGCTGACAAGGAATTACTTACCATGCCTTATAATAATAATAATTATTATTATCCCCTTGGCTTCCGAGTGGGACACTGGGTTTCAACAACACATCTGCTCTTCGTCTTATATTCTGATGTCTTCTTCATCTGGATACCTCCATGATCGCCCATTATCTCACATCTTCTCCTCCCAACGCGATCTCCTCAATGTCACCCTCGTACCGACTGACTCACACGTCGCTTTCCATTCAGATTCCACTGGAGCGACTGCCTGCGTTGCGCGCAATGTCATTCGACCTTCTACTCAGTGGTCTGTACCCAATCCATCTCCATTTTTGCCCACATATTTGTTGAGCAACCGGCTCTTGTCTGTTAGTTTGTTCCACTGAATAGTTTCTTGTTGCTATTTCCTTCTGGCAGTTTGATCTTCAGTATGTCGCGTAGCAGCTGTTGATAAAATGTCTACAGCAAGCTGGTGGAAATCGTTTCCGTGACGCACACGCCAGGTTTCTGGTCCATATAGAAGAAATGACTGTCTGACTTCACATTGATGTTGAAAATCCGATTCTCCATCTTCACCCTAAATGAGTGCAGAAGGCTTCCAAACCGATCTCAGATTGATGAAAATGAATCTTGCCTTTCCGATTATGGCTGACTGGTTTTGATGTGTTTATCCCTTCCAACTGTCTATTGTTAAAGAAATGAGGCCTAGCCAGATAAATGAAGTCAGGAAGTGACCTCTGTCAAATCTCTCCCGTTGATGATGGGTGACTGGTGCTGGTTGTTGTTACTGTTGTTGTTGGTTGCTTGGTTGGTTATCTTCATCACCCCCATCTTCTCTGTGTTCACATGGAGTACTGTCTATGCTGCTCCTGCTTCTTCTACCAGTTTGTTGATTTTCGCCTGCAAGTCTTCCGCTTTGTGTGATATCAGACATATATCATACAAATGCAGAATCCTGATCTTCAAGAGTCTTCTCATCGGTGAGTCCAACGTACTCCTGTCTTCTTACTCTCAACGCATAGCCTGACACATAATCCGGTCCACAACAATTAGGAATATCACCCATAATATTAGTCAACCAGCCCACATTGTCTCACAACCAACATCAACAACAACCAGCACCAGTCACCCATCATCAACGGGAGAGATTTGACAGAGGTCACTTCCTGACTTCACTTATCTGGCTAGGCCTCATTTCTTCAACAATAGACAGTTGGAAGGGATAAACACATCAAAACCAGTCAGCCATAATCGGAAAGGCAAGATTCATTTTCATCAATCTGAGATCGGTTTGGAAGCCTTCTGCACTCATTTAGGGTGAAGATGGAGAATCGGATTTTCAACATCAATGTGAAGTCAGACAGTCATTTCTTCTATATGGACCAGAAACCTGGCGTGTGCGTCACGGAAACGATTTCCACCAGCTTGCTGTAGACATTTTATCAACAGCTGCTACGCGACATACTGAAGATCAAACTGCTTGAAAGAATCAGCTACAAGAGACACTGTAGTGGAACAAACCAACAGACAAGAGGCGGAGGAGGAGAAAATGACAGACTATGGGGAATTTTGGGTCCAGCTGAAGAGGATAGCACCACATAGAACAAAGTGGATATGTGTTGTTGAAGTCATTTGTTCAACTCGGAACCCAAAGGAAAAATAGTATATGAAAATATAGAGATTATCATAATTTCCAGGTGTTACTCAAGAAATAAAGTAATATCATTTTTTATCGCGTCATGTATTCTCCTATATCTTCCATTCTATCAAAAAACACTTTATTTTTTATCTGAATGTTACTCATCCTCCCCGTTTCTGGCTATTTTATAAAAACTTACTTTTTAATAGTTACGTAGCTTAGTACACAGGTTTGCCAAATCTCTCGATTTCTCTTTGACTTTGCCATCGATGAAATTCTGGAGTCACCTCTGAAGGATGTGCGTGAAGGTGGTGTCGATCTGCTACCTAGAGATAGACTTTTCGACTTTGAGTATGCAGACGATATCGTCTTACTGTATGATAGAGTGCAGGCCACCCAAATCGCACTTAATCAGTTGGCGATCAGTGTCTGTAAGTGTGGTATGTACTTTGCTCCGTCTAAGTGCAAAGTACTCTTATAAGATTTGCAGGAGCCTGTACCTGCACTCACTCTTGTGGGTGAACTGCTTGAAATTTTTGATAAGTTTGTGTATCTATGTAGTTGTGTGGGTGCTGGCGGAGGGGTGACGGATGAGATTTCCAACCGTATAATAAAGGCTAGGGTGGCATACATCAACTAGAGCCACCTCTGGCGCCGTCGCGACGTTAGCCTGGCTGTCAAAGGTCGGGTATACAATGCTTCGGTGCGGGCTGTCTTGCTCTACGCCTGTGAAACATGGCCTCTCTGAGCTGAGGATGTGTGGCGACTCTGTGTGTTCGATCATCACTGTCTTCGCAGGATTGCTTGCGTTCGATGGCATCATCGCGTGAGTTATTCTGAGTTTCGGAGGCGTGTGTTTGAACACAGTGGAGATCACCGTTCATTGAGTGTCGTCATCTGGAAATACCGGCTCCGGTGGCTTTGACATGTGCTGAGAATGTCATGTCAGAGGCTTCCGTACGGGTCTCTGTTCGCTAGCCCTGGGACGGGATGGAAAAGGCGGAGGGGTGGTCAGTCCATGACGTGGCGTCGTGGGATGAAGGATTTTTGTGCTAGATTAGCATCGGATGGTGCGTCGCGACTCCCTGGTTGGGGTCTGCGAGATAGCTCGAATCGATGGCTCGAAACGTTATCGGATATGGCCAAGAATCGTAATCATCAATGGCGAACGTGTTGCAATTTCCTTCTTTCTTCTCTTCCTGATGATATTTAACGAATACTCTTTGAGCTTGTTAAGTATGACTGTTTTCCTTCCAGATGAAGTTCTTTATCCGTTTTCTACTTATATTTTTACTTTTAATCTATTTTGTTTTATTATTATTGTGTGGCGCATCCTTCTTAGTGCCATATTGTACCAAGGTTTTTATGCGTTTAAATAAATAAATAATAGATATTGGTAAAATCTGTCCTAGAAAATGTGTTACATTATGTAAGCTGTAATCTAGAAGAAGTGACTGATTGGGAGTTAGAAAAGAGGCAGAAGTTGGTATGACGCAAGAAGTGTGAGAAAATGACGAATCAATATAATTGTGTAGAGTGCATAAGAACTAGTGGAAAGACGATAAAGTGTTTTAATAAAATTTGTATGAAAACACAGCATTATTAAGAAACAAAAAGTGAGTTGCAGCGAAGAAAATTTTCTTTTCGACGAAGCCACCATCAACTAGGCTGTATATTCGTGTATTTATGATAAATGGGTGCGAAAGTTCCAGAATTATTTCTGGTCAATGGTCAGATTAATAGAATTACAATTAGGAATTAAAATACCATCATAAACACGCGGATGAATAAAGCTCAGACAAAGAAGCATCAGAATTACTGAGAAGATTGATGTGTTGTGCAATTAAAGGTTAGAAATGTAGAAATAACAAAAGTAGACAGGATGTCTGGATAAAAAATCTAGTGTGACCATAACTAATGTCACGAATAACTGTTTATGTGATCAGAGATTAAATATGTAGAAATAATAAAATGACGAAATAGACAGGACGTTCGGATGTGAAAATATGGTAGTGTAGATAGGGATTAAGAAAATCTAAGAAATAGGATGAATAAACAGGAAGTTTGGAAAAGAAGGCTGAGTGCATCGGCCGCACCATGCGCCAACGCAAAAAACGCGCTCGTGAACACTATCCAGCCTGACTAGTAAAATGAGAACGAAAACGCGTACATAGCTCAGTGACAAAACATCAGATCAATTCAGGACATTCAGCACCATTTGAAAAATCCTTCAAAATAATGTACAAGATTCGATCAAACGTATCAAAGGGAGTAAAATCAAGACATCTGGTCATAGCCGAGGCACTAGCTATCTAAAAGCTCAAACCCACACTATGTATCCAAAAGAAATACGTCGAAACCTTGGCCCTGCCATGCCCATCATAAACAGGTAATTCTTTCAATAGTGACCATCCAATCGATTTTCTTATCCAAATTTCCTGTTTATTCACGTTATTTTTAATTTTTTCTTAATCCCTGTTTACACTTCCATATTTTCATATCCAAACTTCCTGTCTATTTTGTCATTTTACTATTTCTACATATTTAATCTCTGATTGCATAAACAATTATTCGTGACATTAGTTATGGTCACACTAGATTTTTTATTATCCAAGCTTCCTGTCTATTTTTGTTATTTCTACATTTCTAACCCCTAATTGCCCAATATGTCAGTCAGTCTTCTCAGTAATTCTGATGCTTCTTTGTCTGAGTTTTATTCATCTGCCTGTTTATTATGGTATTTTAATTCCTAATTGTAATTCTATTAATCTGACCATTGACCAGAAATAATTCTGGAACTTTCGCACCCATTTGGCATAAATACACGAATATACAGCCTAGTTGATTGTGGCTTCGTCGAAAAGAAAGTCTTCTTCTTCGCTACAACTCTCTTTTTATTTCCCATGAAAGCATTATCAATAAACACTAGTAGAGTGATAATAAAATAAAGATCATGAGAATGACAACAATAATGGTAAACTTGCATAATAAAAGGGAGCAAAATCATAGTAAGGACGTTATTCTGGTCACGGTAGGAAGAGAATGTATGTATCGCTTTTGAATGCAGAGGTCCGGTTTCACATCCGGAATAGCTGATGCTTCATCTGTGTACAGATGGCGTATGCGAA